CTAAATAAATCTAAAATTTTTATAATTGTATGTATTACCAATAGACTAGTAGGATAATACATACTAGAAAGTTGTAAAGTAGATTGGTAAAAAATTTTAAGAAAAGAATGAAATTTTTTAGCTATGTGCCAATCATTTTCTACCAAATAATGATGAACTCTATTATTTGCTACAAAATAACTAATTGAATTTGCATGAGGTAAATATGAATCAAACATTAAATAAGTATTACTCCATCTAACAGGCATGTTTAATGCAAAAGTTCTAGGAGACATATTTGATTTTATACAAACATCTTGAAATTCAGCATTTCTTTTATTACTACTAGTAATCCAAGCTAAAGAATCCCTAATTCTATCAATATTATTTCTAATTTTTTTCATATCACTTTTCACAATTAAATTAATAATGTGACATGCACAACGTTAATGAAAAAACTTCAAATTATCATAAAAAGGAAAATTAATTTTAAAAAAATCTATAGCTGTACTATTAACACTTACATTATCTAAAGTTAAACTTATTACTTTATTAATAACATCATAATTTTCTAAAACTTCAACAATTTTATTATAAATTTACTGACGACTATGATCCACATCCATTAATCTAAATCTCAATAAAGATTTTTTTAATTTACATTCGTTATCAAAATAATGACTAGTCATACAAATATAATCTTATTTAGCTCTACCACTCCAAATATCGGCGGTTAGAACCACACTAACATGACAATTATGTATTTTATTTTTTAATTCTAATTTCAATTTCCCAAACAATTTTATTAAATCATTTCTAGTTGCAGTTTTATAATAACTTTTAAATCCTGGAAAAAATGAATTTTTAATAAATCTTTCAAAATATTTATCTTCAACCATATTAATAGGTTGATCAGTTGCAGTAATATATAAAGCTGATCGTTCCCTATATACATCAGAATTATAACGTCAAGTAGTACCCATATTAGTTATTTGAGTTTGATTGGTTTCTCTATTTCCATTTTGAGTAATATATTTATTAGCATGCCTTTTTAAAGTACTAGTCTCATTACCTGAATCAACTTTATAAATATTTCCACAATACTTGCATCTTGTTTTCTTCACTTGAACTCTATTTTCTATCTCGTAAAACTTATCGAAATGCACCCAAACGTCTAATGTGTGTCTGTCGTCGGTTTCGACAGCAATTGATGAACCCACTTTTGCTTGAGATGAAGTTGGACGAGGACGACAATTACGAGGATGACTTTTTAAGCTGTAGCAACATGGGGAGGAATCGGTGGAATATTATAAGGTGTATCAGATTTTGAGATTGGGAAAGTGGGACTATTTGAATATATTGCATTTATGTTAGTAAATTCAGGGGGACTATGATAGTTTCCTTCGTTATCGAAATCGATGAGATGAAAATATCTATCCATTGCAGTTAAAAAAAAAAAATTGATATAAAAGAAATAAAAAATTAAAGATTAAAGATTAAAGAAGGAGAATTGGAATTTGGAAATATGAATTAAAAATTACAAAAACTAATAAAAATTAAAATGAGAGCAAATTGACAACAAAGAGAATAATTGAGAGATTTCAATAGAGATTAGAGAAAATGAGAGAATGAGAGAATTTGAGATGTGAGAAAATATGAGAGTTTAGGCCTTATTTATAGAAAAAAAAAATGGGAAAAGAAAATGACGAAATAAACCCCTCAAACTACTATAAAACGGCTATATTACATGAGTAAAAAGGGTATTTGCAAAAAATAAAAAATATTATTTAATTTTTTTCATCCAACCAACCGGGTTGGAGGGTTTTTTTTTTTAAATACAAAATTTAACCCGCCGAGTTGGCATATTAAAACCCGACCCGCCCGACGGGGTATATGCGGGTTGAGTTCAACCCGGCCTGTATTTTAGACGGTTCGGATTGAACCCGTCTTAATGCGGGTCCGATTAGGGTTGACCCCCATTTGTTCCACCTCTACTCAAGGTTCTGAGAGTTGCCTAATGTTATTTGAAATACAAGGCTGTAAAGAATAGGAATGAGGTGTTTAGGTGTTATGCAGTTGAGTGATACGAATGATCCAATGTGATATTGTAGTAAGTAAAGTTCGAATGATGTTGTAGTAAGTTGAATGATGCGAATAACAGGAAGAAACCTGATGGATGGAGATTCCAATTTACATTGGTAGGACACGAAGAAAATAGAATAACATACTTGTTATTTGGAAAGAAGGAAGATCAAATAAGAGAAGTATGAAAACCTTGCACCGTCATGCGGTGGTGCGAAGAGATGCAGCAACGGGCTTGGGATGGTGAAGGAACCCCAACGATGTAAAGAAATGGACAATCCAATTGACTAGTGGAGGCGGCACAACTGGATTTGCAGGTGCGCACAAGCAAACATGCGCGAAGGATAACAACAGCCTGAACGACATGACCACTAACGGGTATGCGGTGGTGGGAAAAACGAAGGGAAGGTGTGGGCTGAAGTGGGGATCAAAATAGTGCCGGAAATGGTCGACAGTGGCACCCCCTATAGCCGAGAGGTTGAGAGAAAATGACATTATTATCCTTTCAATGTTTTTTGAGTTTACCATTGTATCATTTTTCGTTAAAGTTAATGGGCACTAGGTGCGAAAGTGTCGTTTTTAAACTTGACAGGTGGGAAAGGGTCGTTTCGCTAAATCTTGGGTGGGAACATGTTGTTCTCCCTTTCAATTATTTTTATAAGTATGCATCTTTATTTTAATTTTACGAAAATAATTAGAAATTAATAGCAATTTAATGAAACAAAATAATATGAAAATAGACTCACATCAAATTTAAATCCACGTAAGGAGGGTGTAAAATATGATAATAGACACCAAAAAAAAAAAAAAAAATGAAATTAAGAAGGGAGATCACAATTGAATAAAGTTAAAATATTAGAATTTTAAATTTTTGGTGGGGCATGAACATGCCCTTAGTGAATTTTATATGTCAGGTTTGGGTTGTTATTGTGTTTTATATGTAATCTCCAAGGGATTATTTGACAATCAAGAAGATTCGTTTCATTAATTGACTTTTTTTGTTTGAATCACCTTGAGGTCATCTACCACAATTGTGGCTTACTTTGAAATATTGAGCTTGTAGAGTATTCAATGAGTCCCAAAGATTAGTTGAGGTGCGTGCAACTGGCTTGGACACCTCAGTCATAAAAAAGAAGTGATTTTATATGTCTAAAATGTTAATACTATAGTATCATCTAAAAATTCATTAGTTCTTATCCCTAATTCCGGAGAAAGCACGTTAATTATTAATATTAAGGAAGAATAATTTTGGAATAAATTAAAATATATTAAAATTATTTTTTTTAAATTATTCAAAAAAAGAAGTAATTGTACTTAAATAACAACGATCAATCAAGGGCTTAACTATTGGTCTAATTCACTTTTCCCTCAGCAATCAAAATATGGTTTTCAGTAAACATTAAACTATAAATTGATACCCTAAACTGGATTTTCTTAATATTTTTATTAATATCAATATTAGGAAACCATATTAATTGATTTAATTATTATTATTTATTTTTAATCCTTCAATACATGAGTTAATGGATTGTGGTACTGGCACTGGCACTGGGGAGCACAAAAACTGGAAAGGCCTTTATGTTGACAGTAAATTACAAGAACACCCTCGCTGTCACATGGGATTGTCAATTATATTTGAGCAGAAATGACACAGCGACACGTGTATGGACAGATGGATACTACGATAGGATGGGGTGGTGCCACGTGGTCATGGTGCACCACTACTGAAGTTGGCAAGGGAACCTACGCACATGCGCTTTGGCAAATGGCTTCCCAGTGTTACACTCCTTTCCTACTACTTCTAAAATTCTCACCCTCACGCGTCCAATTCCACTCGCTTCTACGCTCTCTCGGATAAAGGCCTATTTTTCTTTTTAATTCCTTGAAATTGAATAATAAAAAATTAAAAAATAATAAATAAAAAATCCAATTTACGATAGAAAATTTTGAATATGTGTGGATTTTACAAGAACAAATAAAATAAATCATAATTAGAAAAGTAATGAAGGTTTGTCAATAGTACATTGTTAATTATTATTGAATTTATGATCAAATTGAAAAGTGCTTTAAATGGTTTATTTCCTATCTAATTTAATCTATCATTATCAAACATAAAACTCTTTACCAATCATAATTTGTCATCATCATCTTAAACTGGTGTAAATCTATTTAAAACTGGTGTGAGTGGTATATTTACTGTGGCTAAACAATGGTACTTGCACGTATTTTTATTTTTAATCGGGGTGTCGGGTCAGTTTGTGCATATCTCAACTAATTTATGAGATTTATTGAGCACTTTATAAAGTCAAAAGACCATGACCTCAAAGTTTGAACTAAGAACTAAAAAAAAAAGAGCAAAACTCTTTGCCGGTCATACCAACCCTTGCGGCCTGCATTTCAATACATGATATGGTCTTCCCAGAGAGGGTTCAATTGATGATAAAAAGGATACATGGAAATAATACACAAAATGAATCTCCTTTAAAAGGGTTCATAACAATTTCCTTCCCATGTTTTAGAAAAGTATAACACACCTAAGATTTTTGGATAATAAAATACACCCAATAATTAAATAATTTACTCTATGAAGACTATAAAGCCCTTTCAGTTTTTATTTATTTAATTTTATAAATTTAAATAAAACTACTATATCACTTTATAGTTTGTATACAAGATTTTGTATAAACTTTTTGTACGTGTAGTATTATCCGTTAAATTTAAGGTTTATAACTGGACAAAGGGGCTTTGAAGTTTGAAGTAATCAATTTTTTGGATGCATTTGTTACTTTCTGAAATCCTTGGGTGTGATTAAGTTTCCTCAAACCTTGAGGAGGAAATTGTTATAACCCCCTTAAAAAACTGAGCCGTGGGTGGCCTAAGCCTTATTGTGCTCCTTTAGTGTTGCGTTGTTTCAATTCAATCTCGCGTGTAATTTCCGAACATTAAAAGAAACCCACTCTCTCTCTTTCTTCGCTTCTCTTCTCTGTTCATTTCTTCTCTCTCTCTGAAACATACACTCAAAGCCAAACAAAACAACATAATCTCTTAATACTTTTACCACAACTATAACGCACAATCTCTCACTTTCTTCTTCAATTCAGAGAGATCTTGTCCTTCTACAATGCCCTTTTTGTAGCGGACAAGGTAATCTCACTTTCTATTTTTCCAACTCTTTTTTCTCACTCAAGTTTCTTTCAAATTTCTTGGACCATTTTACGCTTTCAAATCCAACTTTTTTATTTTTTTTGAGCTATTGATTTATGCCCATTCGGTCTTAGGTTATGAAAAAGGTTTTATTCCTTTGAATTTTTTCTCAAGCTTCTTTAAAACTTTTTTCTTTTCTTTTTTTGATAATTTTGAATTGTTCCCACTGATTTTTGGACTGGAATTTGATCCTTTTCTTTTTTTTTTTTGATTGGGTGCTGGATATGTGCTCAGCAAGTTTTTGTTGCTGAATTTCTAGGGTTTCATTGGATCACAATCAGGGACTTGTTCAAGGGGGCTGAATTTGGGACTGATTAGGGTTTGAGCGTTCCGGAGATTGTGTTTGGGATCAGATAGAATGAGGATGAGTTGGGATCTTTGGAGAAATTGGAGTTGTGGATTTGACTGTTGTGGGATTGAGTTTTTGAGCTCTGAAGATGCCTAAAATCATGGTGGTTGAACAGTGTTGGTTTGGTCATGGAAGAAGATTGCATTTATAGAATGGTTGTGTAGATGGTAATCAAGAATTGGAGAGTTTTAACTGTTGTTTCAAGGAAAAGGGTATCTGGATTTTGATAGTGTTTTGTGTGCTGATCTTCATTAGGGGATGATTTTGGTATTAGGCTTTGATTATAGGGAGGAGGTGATGGTTCTTTATTGGCCCAGAAGGCAATATAGAAGATTGGATTGTAGTGGACTCTTTTTATTTCTCAAGAAACCATTTGGATTAACATAATTGGAGCAGATTTGTAGACCAAAGAGCTAATTTTGAGCTATTCTTATAGCTGTGGGTTCTGGAGCTAGTGTAGTTGATATTTGATAGTAGGCTCGATTAAGTCGTAGCAGCAGTTGGCATTTACTTTTTGAAATATATATCAGTGAAATCTACGTGATTTGTGTATAAATTTGAAGTAGAGAAGGCTAAAGGTTGGTCTGATTTGATATCCGTGGTTGATGGTGTGACTGGGAAGCTCATGGAGGAATATTGAAGCTGGAAATGAATGCGGGGACATGGTGCATGGACAGGAGCATAGTTACTGGTCCGTTCCTTTGGAACCGTGCTACTGGAAAATAATTCTGGCATTTTTGTTTGTGGAAGGCATTTGTGTTCTATATTCTGGGATTCTGTGCAATGTCGCGTTGCTTTCCGTTCCCGCCACCAGGATATGAAAAGAAGGCTAGGACTGGCGATCCAGACTTACTAAAAAAGGTTAAATCACTTTTCTCATATTTAGTGAAATGAAAATTTATTGTTGATATGACAATCAATTTGGTATAAAAGATGATGCCAGTTCTGCTTTCATTGGAGTTGAGTGGCTTGATTAGGTGTACTTTAGAATTGGTATGGCAATCAATTGGGTAGTAGAAATGATTTGATTGCCACTTTAATTGGACTGAGTGCCTCTATTAGGTATACCTTCGTCAAATATCTGTTACCTTTCTTATGTTGAATTTTCATTAGATAGCTTTATGCATCTGAGCACTGTATAAGAATTTTCACTATTTGCTGATTTAGCACATTGATAGTTTACTTAATTGGTTGATTGGCTCTTTGGTCAAATTCATTTGTACTTGATTTCCCAGTCTAGGATTAAGAAGAGTTCAGCTGAAGTTTTTGTGCTGTCATAATCAATGGGTTGAAAGGGGATTAATGTTCTTGCTACCTGATTTAGTTGGTCATAGTTAAATACTCTTAATTGATTGATGACCTAATTAGTTAAACCTCGACATCTGTATAGCTATCACCCTCTTGAGATCTGATAATTTATCTCATAATTAAATTTCAAAGCTACAATTGTGTGGTTTTCTGTATCATGCATTATGAAATTCAGTATTAAAGGAATCTTTAACGTGATAAGGGATGGCAAGGTGGTATTGGTATCTTTCTGTTTATGAATGGGAAACATGATTCTTGTGACATTTTCTCAAAATACATTGTATGTTCATACTGAAGTAAGGTTTCTGTAACTAGTGGAGTGCCTGAATTCTGTGAAAATCAAAATTATGTGCGAGTGTTTTTCAGAGTTAATTAAAGATTCTGCCTGGTTGGTCTCTACTTAATGGAGTAGGCTACTTCTGTTGATGAACCTAGTCTTGATATCACAATAGGGATTTCTTGGACAATTTGGATGCATAATCAGTTACTGGCATAGGAAGAAAGAAACATGAAGGATGATAAAAAATGGAAATTTAATTAAAATTTGGAACTGGTGCATTCAGAACCTTGAAATAGTTACATTTTTTACCTTTGAAAAAAGTGAATGTTGTTTTTGAAAGTAGAATAGAATCTAACTTTGAAATAGAGGCGTTACATTAACAATCAAGATTAGACACCCTACTATGGAAGCTGGCTCTTCCAGAGCTCTAAAAGAGTAAGCTTCTTTGTGAAACTTTGATTAAATGATTTGTTTTTTTTATAAATATTAGCGATGCAATTTTTTACTGTAATTTTTTAATAACTCATTAGTTGAGTTATATTAAATTGGTATATGACTTTTCAAATATTAGAAATATCAACTTAAAATCAGATAAAGAAAGAAAGAAAATCCTTTGAGTATACAGACTATCTCGAGTTTAGTTACTAAAATGGGTAGGGAAGATGATGAACTATGCAATTTCCCACCCAGCTTAACATTTATTTGGCCATATCCAAGTTGAAGATGGAATAACAAATTTTATGAATATCAAATTTATGAATATCTTGTATGTGATTTGTAAGCTTGATTGGTTATGAACAAAATTCGTTTACAGATGTCTCAATAGTTTAAATAATGATGACATTGCTGAAGGCATTCTTGCCAGGTTCTTGAGTGGCTTAGTATCTTGGTATTATGGTACTTTAAATTCAATCCAGTTTGGAAGTGAATGGAAATTGGAGTATTGAACGTTCTATGGCTAAAGGCTTTATTTTTTCATTGGCTAGGCAACAATGAATTACATTAGCGCGAAAAAATTATACAAATACAGGCCAGATGTCCACAATGAAAGGAAAACCTGTCCCTAGAACTCAATAGGGCTCCAGAAGCTACACAACATGTGTAATGCAGCTTTCTGACTGTAAACAACTGAAACCCTAGAACATGATCTACGCAAAAACTTTTCCCAACCATTCTATTTAAGCGTCCTAATTATAAGGATCCCATTCAATCTAGTAGTATCATTTAGATATTTGGTCCATAAGCTGCCAGGTGCTCTACCTTCTTTGCGAATTTTTTTTTTCTTAATTCTGTTTCCAAATCAATGTTGAAGTGTTTGTCATTAAACAATTTTTTTTTTTTGTATGTCGGTGATTATGCCATGATTTGCATCATGTTTTTACTTGTGCTTGTGTTGGAAGGATGTTTTCAGAAACTTTTGCATATGGTCATGTCAAAACAAAACTACTGGAATCGTACCCATGGGAAGTTGGAGCTTAATATTTAGTCTGGCCTAAAATTGTGAACAGTCTTAGAAATTTTGGGCTTTATTTTCTTAGAGAACGAATTAGGTGCAATGTATTGTACAGTGGTGTACATGCCAGCAAGTGTTATTTCAACAGGCATTGTCTGGAGCATAATACTTAGTTTTCATTTTAGTATCATGGCTTGTTGGAATTGAGTTTAACTTATGTTGTTTTTGAGGTCATGATTATCATTAACAAGAATTCTTATTTGGTTTATTATGCCCAGGCCTGGTTCTCTCTCTGTCCGTTTTTTTTCTAAATTTTCTTAATACTGAGTGTTTTACCATATGTCCATTGAGTTTTAAATTGGGATATATTCCTACACCCAATGAACTGAGTAGCTAGGAAAACCTATGGGATATGATCTCCCAACTAGGTGGCCACAAGGAGAATTGAGCTATCTGTCTATTGGTTGAAACTGAGGCCTTTTCGAATCAGCCCAACATTTAGAATTTAGTAAATTCCTGTTCTATAGTAAAGCTGAATTCTATTTATGTTGTGTTGTTTAGACTTCTCTTCTTGAAGCATGCTCCCTAAACTCACGTTTGCAATCAACCGAGATGTGTACAGTGTTTGAAATTCATTGAAGAATACATGCTCTTTTCATTCTCTGGAGCTTTTACTATGATGTTGGACACAGATAGAATTTCCGGCATGGTAGTTATACTCATTTACAGGAATTTTCTATAAATCATTCCAATTCAGTTTCTTGCACAACAATTATTCATCATATTCACCGTGAAACAAGATAGTTGTTTGAGGAAGGCTTCATTTATGTTGCTANGAGCTTTTACTATGATGTTGGACACAGATAGAATTTCCGGCATGGTAGTTATACTCATTTACAGGAATTTTCTATAAATCATTCCAATTCAGTTTCTTGCACAACAATTATTCATCATATTCACCGTGAAACAAGATAGTTGTTTGAGGAAGGCTTTATTTATGTTGCTAATAGCTGTTTAATTGCTTCCTGTGGAGAGAATTCACCTGTTCACCATACCTGTCTCCAAACTTGCTAATGTTGGAATTTGAGATCAGATTAGGAGCTCCAGTGCACAGTTTTGTGATTTTGGGCTGATTGTAAAGCTGCTGCCATACGGCCATTGTTATTTAAAACATTTTAGGCTACAGATTCTAATATGGTAAAATGTCTGTGAAGTTAATTGCATGAAGTTTATTGTTAGGTTGTAATCACTACCTTTATTACTGGCTCCTTCTTCTTTGGGTTGCTTCCATGGACTTGTTTTTGTGTTTTAGCTGATTTTCTGATCATTATAATTTGTTGATGTTTTAGGATATGTAGTTTGAGCTAAGTTTTTCTTGAGTGCCCTGAATATAATTGCATGGGGATCTCATTTTTCTTTTTCTTTAATGGACGACTTTCAAAGCAATATCTTGCAGAAAGCTTCCAAATTATTTATGTTATCTAAGTCTTTCCTTTTGTGTGATCTTCAGATCAACCGGTCTGGAAATATAGTCAGGTGGTTGGTCATCCTGTTCTGAGGCTATAAGAAATCTATTCTAATTTTAGCTTTAGATGGTAGATAAGTTTAGAATCATCATGTGTGTTTTGCTTAGTTTATTTTCTCTGCTTGTGTTTTTAAATTGAGATTACATGCTTTGTATTGTGGGTTACAATGGGTTTTGACAAATGAAATCGAGGTGAAGGTGTGTACTTAGAAGAGTTTTCATGATGGTTGACAATGTGTTTTCAATTCATTTGACCTGATGCTTTTATGGTTTTGAATAATGTGTTGGTTTTGTTTTACCCTTAATTCCTTATATATTGTCATTCTCCCTTATGTATCTATTTGGAGTTTTATATATTAATGTAAGAGTTCCATTTTTATTTTTTTGTTCTAAATTTATTTATCAACCAAAACTTTTTTTGGGTAGACTTAGGTAATTGGGGGCCACTTTTTTGAGATTTATTACAAGTCTTTTGGTTACCAAGAGGAAGTCAAATCCCCCTTCACCTTCCTTTTAAAGTGGGTTTACTCAAGAGAACTTAAATTGACCGAAGAAATGTTTGGATTAGGACAACTACAAAAACAAAAGCTAAAAATAAAGAGTTCAGGACACTTTAAAAGAGCTTGAAGTCAACAAAACACTAAGGTGGTGTTCAATATTGTTTTTGGTGATTGAAAATGAAAATAAGACGCTTGATTTTGTGTTCTCGAAATTTAAAAACGCATCCAGTATCAATTTCTGAAAACAGTAGAAATGTGTTTGTTATCATTTTTGTATATAAATATGAAATGCGGTGAATGAAGACGTAGAAAATATCTTTCATGTGTTTGTATGTTTTCAATTTTTTTAGTTATGCATTGTATTCTGTATTTCTCCTCTTTTCTATTTTTAAAAAGGGCAATGGTGAGTGAACAAACATTACACATTTTCTGATACAAAACAAACAATAAAAATGGAAAAAAATGAAAAAGAAATGATAGCGGATTGACCCTAAGAATCCCCTTTAACAATTCACTATGGCCTCCCAGTTGTGAAGAATAAAGGAAAAAAAGAACGCATGTATTTGAATTTGACCTGGAAACTAAAACTTGTTTTTGTTGCATCCGTATACAATCTCTTCTCCGATTTTGTGTGAAAAATTTGTTCTGTTTCTTTCTATCCAAATGGTCCTAAAGATACCCGTAGTATCACAACGCATAAAACTCTAGCTTTTCTATCTCTCAAAAGGCTTGGCTTTTTACAGAAGTTAGAAGCGCTTGACAAAGAAGCAATTGAATTGAGATCAGAGGCAGAAATAAGATTAATCAGCAGCTACCTGGCTGTAGGGCATTGTATGAACAGATGGTCTAAGCTATTAGCCTCATTTTTACTCATAAAGTAATAGTGAAGAGATACATGCATCTGGTGTCTTTTAATTTGAAGCATGTATGATATACAAAGAATAGGATGGTTTTAAGGATTAGTATTTCTTGTGTTTTATTTCGTTTGTCATTGTTTTAGACTTGAGGAGTGCTAGGAACTCTCTCTTCTACAATTTCTTACTCTCCCATCTATCATTTGACATGTGTACAAAGAGAGAAAATAAAAAAAAGAAGTAATATAATTTATTTCTCATATTCTTGTCTCTTGTAGATGTGTCACAATGAGGGTGTGCTAGAGAGAAAGAGATTGTTCTTAGCACTCCTCTTTATACTTTATTTTGTCATTAATTAGGATTAAATTTATATTTTATAAGCCTATAAGGTTTCTATTATTATTGTGACATATTGGATTTAATAAATATGAGTACTGATTTTCTCCTTATAGATTATTTTTCTCCCCTTTCTTTCTAGTTTATAATTCTTTATTCTCTTCCTATTTCTCTATTCTTTATCTAATTTGTTTCTGTTTCCGCATCAAAACCCTAATTGAACCCCCACCCCCCCCCCCCCCCCCCCCCCCCAAAAAAAAAAAAAAACCAAACCACGTAAACCCCTAGGTACCCCAGAGAGTAGAAAACACAAAAAATAAAAAAAAATAAAAAAAAATCTACCACCTAACTAGAACCCTAATCTAATGTGAAAAGCAATCACAAATCATATAAAACTCTAATTTATCCGTCTTTATCCTCTTTTTTTTCAATTTCTTTATTTTATGATCTTATTCTTCTTCTGCTCCTACATCAATGTCATTGGTTTTCCATCAAATTTCCCTTCTTTGTAGTGCTAATAATTCATGTATTTTGCACACTGGTTTCTTTCACTGTGTGAGATGTATCAGCAAATAGTTCCTATGGTTTTTCATCAAAGCATATCCTTGCACTTCTTCCTTTTTGAAATTTTGTTTTGTTTTCTCTTTTGAATTTTCCTGATAATTATGGATGTAAGAATGTTAGTAATCTCCTTTCTATGCCGGTTTCCCTTTAAAAATCTTGGAATTGCTGTGCTGTCATAACAGGAATTATGAAACTTCTACTAAATGCATTCTATTAGAAGTTCCTTTTCATGGAACTGTGAAGCATCATCAACAGTTGAAATACTACCATCTAACAATATCAAGTCTGTTATTCGTGTTTTACCAACTATGTAGGTTATGCAATTTTCATATGTTCTGTGAGCAATGGAATATCAATGTAGATGTATGTGAATGCTAATGGAAGCATGTTATGGCATCAATACCAATGTACATGTCTGTGAAGGCTAATGTGAACCATGTGATGGATTGTTTCTTGAGTACAATAATATAACTTGTTGATTTTCTCTCTATCCGTATAAACTCTTTATGCAAAGATAAATTGAGGTTATTTTGTATGTTGTTAATGATGACATGGGCGTTGTCGATGTTTTTGCATATTGTGAATGATTATATGCTTATCCACAAATATCATGAGATTTTAGGGATTTAATTCTATTTTCCTATTTGCTGCATTAATTTTTTTTCCAATTATATATTTGTATTGTCATCTTGGGGGTTTTTTGGTCAAAGGATAGTTTAGACTTTTACTGTGTTTTGTGTAAGGGTTTTGGCTTCCTATAAATAGACGTTTAAGTTATTATTGTTTCAGACTTTATGATGAATTGATTATTATTGATTTTCTCCCAAATTTATCTGTTTCTTCTCTAATACTTCTGGATTTCTCCCTTTTCTTGCTTCTTCTCCCTTAATTCTATTCTGCTGGTTTCCATGGATCACCAACCAAACAATTTCAAACAAGTAATGCAAATACTATGTAGAAATATAGTTTTTTCATATAGTCAATATGATAATTCAGTGTAAGGCTTCATTTAGTCAGTCTGGAGTGGTTTGTGTCAGTTATTTATGAAACAAGAGTGTTGTCAATGAGCATGATACATGCTAAGCAGTTCAAAGATGGTGGTTTATTTCAGTTCATTATCAGGAATGTTTCATAAGGAGAAGAAATTTGCATAGTTTCTGCTATTATAGCAAGGGCGTGTGATGGAGATGCTGTGCAAATATAGATTCCATGTTATTTAATTCAGGAAACAGAAATTTTAACATGATGAATACATTTTGTTTTTATTCTAAATACCATTATATGCTGATGTGGGGTGGGGGTCCTATTTCTCTGGGTCAGAGATTACATCATATTTGAATATTTGTCTTTCCACATTCTTAAATAACTTAAGTAATGCATGAAGAGATTCCATGGTGGTTGCTGGTGTTGCCAAAATTAGTCCTGGGACAAAAAGTTGAAGCATTAGTTAAAATTGTGTAAAAATCTATTTAGAGAAAAATAATGAAAAAGTGAAACACGGCACAAACTAAGTGTACTGTGTTCAACCAGGGAAACCTTTGTCCGAACTACCAATTATTGGGGGTTGGGTTTGCCAAAAGTAAATGAATGGAACTTGAAGCAGGAATGAGTGAACTACACGAAAAAGTACTGCTTGCTGGGGTTTACAGAATAAGGAGGGGGATGGGTGAGTCTTTGAGTTGAAGAGAATGGGCCTGTAGAATCCGAGGATATGCTTAATGATCAGAGAGTTATTTTTTTATCATGAAATATTTTTTGTTTGTTTGTTTCAGTTTTTTTAACCCTGTGGTACTTCCATTTGTAGGCTGTGGTGTTTCTGGGAACATTGCTTTCTTTTAGTTTCCACTTGACCTAAAGTTTTAAGTTGTTAGGTCGCTCAACAATAGGATATTTACTTTCTGTGATTAACATAAGAATGGAATAGATGAGTCTTCGACTGGAAGAACAGGGGCCTGTAGAATTGGTGGATATTGGTTGTTGATCACAGAGTTTTCATTTATCTTGAAATATTTGTGGTTCTCTTGTTTCATCATTTCCAATCCTGTGGCACTTCCATCTTTTGACTTTGGCGTTTCTGAGAACATTGCTTCTCTCTTGTTTAAGTTGCCAATTGACATAAAAGTTTAAGCTGATAAGTCGCCTAACAATAGCTATAAAGCTCTAACATGCCCCTGGAGTGCGCTAATTAGTTTACTGAATACAATCACAAGAAGTTCAACCATAACCATAAACATAACTTATTGTAATTTTATACAGTAAAGCAATTTTAAGCACAAGACCACCTCCTCTATCTGACTTTGATTACCACTTTACCTAAAAGCTCAAATGGATAGGTAAGACCCTACAAAAGGTATTAAGCTGTAATTTTTTTTTTCCGTTTTCACTATTCTGCTGCTAAAATATCTTCATTTGAATGTGCTGTCAATTGCTGATGGTGTGTGTCATAGTCTGTGAACTTCATGGTGCAGATACAGAAGTAGAGCCAGTCCCTAGTTGCGTGTAGTGAGCCTGACATCTATTGTAGTAAAAAATCTTTCTTAATCTTTTTTATTAATTTTACAATGGATAATTTAAAAAGTTTACGATGCAGAAACAATGAGAATTATCTTGGAAAATTTTATGAATAATCTTTATCTTAGGATTAGTTTCATCTTGTTATAATGTTTATTTTTGCCGTGTTATGTGTATTAACAGGCTTTTTATTCATGTAGAAAGCAGCCTTGAATGACTTATGAGAAATTTTTCCTTTCATAATTTATGCTTAGGTTCTTTCCTATATTTTCTCCCCGTCCCTTTTTTGGTTCTTTTTCCCTTCTGTTCTACATCAGTTTTACTTTATGAAAACTTATATATGTTAATGGATTTTAACCCGTTTCATAAATATATATCTGTTTCTATAAGTTTAATGAATGATCTTAATGTTTTTCATGATTTGCAGGAGAAACAGAGAGAGAAGAAGCATAGAAAGGAGAAGAAGGACAAAGAGAAGAGAGATAGTAAAGAGAAAAAGGAGAAAGATAGAATTGATGAAAAGCACAGGGAAAAGAAAGACAAAAAGGAAAAACAGAGAGAGAAAAAGGAGAAGGACAGGGATAAAGATAAAGATAAAAGTAGCAACTCAGATGAGAAGAGACTTCCAGGGAAATCTGAGGATCATGATGGAGAGAAAACCTCCAATGAGAAAAAATTGCTTCCAAAATCTGAGGGTCACAATGGAGAGAAATTCATTCAGAAAGACAAGGAAAAGAACAGAGATTCAAGCAGTATCTCCAGTGAGAAGAAAGTTGCTGGGCAATTTTCGGGTTACAGTGGAGAGAAGCTCAGTCAGAACAGTTATCTGGCTGGGGATTCGAAGGATTCTAAATTTTTGCAGGAGCTGGGGAGGAGAGTCAGAGATGAAGACAGAGCAACTGGGAACCAGTTGGTTGAGAAGTTTACCAGCACAGACCGAAAGAGGGATGAGGGAGTTGTTAGATTGGTGGCTAAGGCTACTCACAGCTTGGATGGTGGTAAGGAAAAGAAGAAGGATAAGAGAGGTGGTGATGAAAGAAAGTTGGATGAGCACGGTGTCATGGATGAGCACGGTGTCAGAGATGATGCAAGATTTAGTGGACATGCCATGTTTCAGAGCCTTGCTGGAGTGGTTCAAACAAGAACTGAAGGTGTGCCCAGGCCACTGGAGAAAGATGTTGAGAGCAAGACCGAAGGTAAAGAAAACACCAAAAAAAAGGAAGGAGATGATAAGCGTGGGGATAAGCACAAGGATAAAGATAGGGAGAAAAAAGGCCAAGGGAAGGAAAAAGACAGGGATAAAGAGAAGAAAAAAGAGGAGAAAGCGAAGATGAAAAGTGAACATAAGAAGGTAGAAAAGGATATTTTAAAAGACAAAAAGAAGAATGACCTTCTAGGAACCCATGATATGAAGACCTTGCGTCTTCCCAACAGTAGTGACAAGAATGCTATTAGTGAGGCAAATATTAGGAAACGAAAGGACTCTGAGACAAATGGATTTTATCATGGTGAGTTCTATAATGAAATAAACCATGTTATATCACAGCAACCTAGTACTATTTATTAAACCGTTCAACAACGCGCTCTTGAATAATAGAAAAGCATGAAATACTAGTGCGTTGTTATCGGAATAATTTTTTGTCCTGGTACCAGATGTACCATTCTGTTGGGAGGTATAGAGGTGTTTTACATGATCTCAGCAGTTTTTGCTAAAAATATGGAATTGATTGACTTGCAGATTAATTTGTAGCAATTGTTGGTCATTTTTTCTAGTAGGTTCAAACTGAGGATTCATGTTAACTAAGTTTCTGCTTCCTTTTCTATGTTTGTTACAGCTAATGACAACAGGCCTAATAAGTTGCCAAGATCCTCTTCTTCTGCCCATTCATCGACAGAGACCAATAAGTTGACAAGACCCATTTCATCCTCTCATCCATTGACAGAGACCAATGTGGTGCCAAGACCTACTTCATCCCCTCATCCATTGACGGGGAATGGAAAAATTTTGGAACCTGGCCAAACTTCTGCCTTGTTTACTTCAGATAGACAGGGTTCAGCCAATAATCTTAAGGCAGATAATAAAGAACGCAAGGTGAATGGTATGATTTCATCTCAGCCGTTGTCTGTCTCAACAGCGAAGTCTCTGTTTACGACTGTACAAGCTGATCAAATTGCTGAGGTATCTATGAATCCACCTCATCCAGATACCAAATATCTAAACCAGATACTATCGGTTCCCAAAAGGGAAGAGTTGTCTAAGGACCATGACCTGGAGTGGCTCATTCATGGCAGTAATTCCCAGTTACAGAAGCCCAAGGTGATATCCCCTGGAAATGATGAGATGCCAGAGGTTTGGGCAGAAGCCACGAGGATAGAGTCAGCTGATGTTTGTGCTCTGCCTTATGTTATTCCCTTTTGATTGGTTTACATATGAGCATAGTTTATCCTCTCCCTGTATGGATTTGGGGGAAACCCTCCATAGGAACACATTACACATTGTGGGAAACCGTAGCAGCATCTGGGCTTTTCGGTGGAAATTCTTCAATATTTTTGCTGCACTCGTCACCATGTCTTTGAAATGATATGTCACACGCTGTTGTGTGCCCTAGTGCACTGTTGCAGGACAAGGATTGGAGGGGTAATTTTAGTTGCTGGTTTGGGGGCACTAATTCATTAAAAAAAATTGATAAGGGCAACCTAGTGAGGTTGCCGGAGAAGGGAGATGTAAAAGCTTGTGCAATTTTATTTCGTTTGCTTAAAGCTGAGGAGCTCTTTTCTAATTGAGAATGTAAGAGAAACTACTGGCAGTGTTTGAAACAGCACTGCAATTTTGATTTGTAACATAGAACTGGTATTTAGAAAAATTGTAAGATAGAGGGAAAGGAAAAGTAGCTGCATTCATTCATTAACTCTCTCATGTAACTGTTGTTCATAATCCCATTAAGTTCTCTAGTATCTGCTGCTGTGTATGAAATATAAATATGGCTTTCCAATTTCATGTCAGTCATGGAATATGTTAACTACTTGTATATTTGTGTTCTGCTAGTAGTTAATCAATCTCTGCTGGGAGTTCTCTGTATCAGTTTTTTAATGTGAAGTTCCAAATATTTTAAAGGGAATGGGGTTTAGGTTTTGAGTTTTGTTGACAAATTGTGGCATATTTAATATGCTTTTAATTTTTTTTATTATAAACCATAATCAAAACATAATCCAACATGAATCAATTACATGAAATTTGTTTTTTCTTAACAAATAGAGAGCTTTTACGTGGTATACACAAACTAGTATGTATATCCCAATTACAAAAAAAAAAAAAAAAAGAAAATAATAGAGCTTTTACTCTCGTTAATATCTAAATCTTAAACTTGTAATATGGAGTGAAAAATGTATAATGAATGAATTATGACACTTATATTAATATAAAAATAATATTATAAACTAACATTTATCATTAAAATTTAAATAAATATAATATTGGTCACCCTTATGCTTCTATATTGCTATTGGACTTTGCCACCATTTATTTGCTCCAGCCCCACAAGTTTGACCATAAGCGATCAAGGGTAGGCCTTTTTGAAAAAATGTAAATATAAATTATCCAAAATAAGTTAATTTAATAATATTATACATACAAACATTTAATTACTGCCCTAAAACAATTAACAAATGGGACCCCTGTAAGAGTCCATCTGGCAGTGGGCCCTGTTAACCCACTTCTTCCTTTATGAGTATTAATACATTGGCCCACCGCCAAACCATTAGCTAAGCATTATTCATAGTAGAATTTAATTACACCTCTTTTCATAAAAAATGTTGGGTGTCAGGTAATTCATTTGATTACTTTTCTTCATTGATTTTGAATAATTTGTAACTCAATACTAGTGCTAATGTTTTGTGCTTTTTCTTGATATAATAAAACCTCTCTATTTTACTATAATATATACAGTCTCTCTCACTCTTGAATCAAAGAAAGCAAAAGAAGAAATAAATGCAAGAGAGCATTGGATAATCAAAACGGTTATAGGGTTTTTATGTTTATTTGTTTAGCTTTTCTCATTCTAGAAGAGTTAAAACTCTTAATTACAACTTAGTGATTCTGTACTATCAATGTACCCCCGCTCAACTCTTAGCCCATATTTTAATAAACAAAATTACGTTTGATATATTATTTGATAGTAATAAATTTAGTTGGTCATAATATTATGACTATAGAGAGGTTTAATCGTATATATTATTAAATTCAATATATAAGTTATATTATTGTTTGAGTTCATCTAAGGTTCCAAAATATTCTCCATCTTCTTGAATTATGTTGACAATTAGTTGAAACGAAAGTGATATTTTCTCTATCTTCTTGAATTATATTGATAATTACCGAAAAGAAAATGATAGTTTGTCTATCTTCTTGAATTGTGTAGACAGCGAGGGAAAGGGAAATGACAGATTTATTTCCTGATCCATGAATAGATGTGTGTGTATATTTATGTAATAATAATGTTAGGTCCACAACTTTCTTTCATAACTTTCTTTTATAACTTCTGATATGATAACTTTTCATTAATTAGCAATGGATAGGTGAGACACATTTTACGACTAATGACAAATTACCATGTCAATGATTGTGAAAGAAGGTCGTGAGATTGAGTTGTGGACTTAACGTGTGTAGGCATAATTTAATTTGATAAGACTCGCGCATCATTTAGGTGGTAGGGTTTTTTCATTATTTATTAGTTAGTGTGATGTTAATTTGATAAGACTGATGCATCAATTTAATGTTTTTTTCATTGTATTCTCCTCTGTCTCTAACCCAACTCTAGATTTATGCGATAGAGGTTATAGCTAGGGATGGGGATGGGGACAATGTTGAGTTGAGTAATGCTACATCTACATCACTCATTATATCATTTTCATTACACCATCACCATTTTACTAATAATTATTTTATTATAATATTAAAAATTTAAAATAATTAAAAATTTATATAGATATAAGATATGCCACACCGTGATGTAATAAATGGTATAAATATAACATTACTTAAACTGAGTTTTGGGGGATTTCACCTTTCCTCATTGTCATTGTCGCCCTTAGTCCTCGACTTTTCTGGGGATTTTCTGTCCAACGAAACTCGGTTTTTCCGGATATCTAACTCAGTTCGGGTTTTCTGCCATCCTTGTATAATATAGGATAATAATACACGACATTAAATTATTATTAATATTGGAGTGGAGAGCCAGTACTCCATACAGCTCAGAAAAGGTGGCAGCTTCTTAAATTCTTCTGCCACATCTGCCGCACACTCCTCATTATATACTAAAATGCAAATTGCTATCTCTTTTAAGATGAAAACGAAATTAAGGTACTTGGCAGGTGGTGTTAATAGAATGGGTCCCATTATTTTTTGTCATGTAAGGATAGTTCAGAATGAACCCAAACTTAATGAGTTTGTTTGACAGTCGAGTTATGGAATGGAAGCACTGGCATGTTCTTGGTGAATAATTTAATTGTGAGTTATAGTGAGCTCGATATGTTATTGTCAATGCCAGAAATCTGAATACTAATACTTTGTACTTCCCTCCCTGCACTTATACACAAATAAAGAGATTTGGATTAATTTCAACTTAACTTTAAAGTTGGACAATAAAATTTTCTTTATTTACTGAGGAAAATCATATTGGCATATAATACGATGTGCCACACAAATATTTACGAACTATACAAACATACTCGCTCTTAATGGTGACCCCCTTGTTGAAGATAACAAATATTGTATACTTGCTCTTATTAATGTTATTTGGTCACCACGACCATCCTAAAAAGTAACAATGTTTTTTTAGTTGTTAATTCAATAATTGTAAATAAGATCACATCATATCAAAAAATAAGTATTTTTATATATAGTACAAAGTGTTAGGAACAATGTCAAATTTTTTAATGTGTATTTTAAATTAAAGTAATGTTACATATCGTGGACGTAGTCAGGAATTCGATGTAAGAAGGGCAATTTCAAATAATAATAACAATTTAAGATATTAATTCCCATTCATATATCTTTATATTTATATATTACTTTTGAAGCAATATCATGATTATTTTGCAATAATTGCTATTAAATAAATATTTTTCTATATATATAATATTAAAATTCTAATTTTTGCTTATACCATATAATCTTCTTCAAAATCATATATACTTCTAGATATAATAACATAAGATGATATCCTAGAAATAATTAAATAAAAATTTTAAACTAAGAAACTTAAGAGATTTGTACACTAGTTATTTGTAAAAACAAATGGGTTGAGACTTGAAAAGGAGGAAATTAAAATTTGATTTTTCGGTTTGTGAAATTCAAAAAACTGGAAAACCGGTTTGGTTTGAAAAAAATTTCAAACCAGTTTTACCCTAAATATAAAAGCAAAAAAATTATTATATATAAAATAATAAATATTTGAATTTAGGACTTAAAACATTGAAGAATTTTAAGGATTAAAGGATAATTTGAAAACCGGTTAACTGGTAACTGAACCGAAAATTCGGTTTGGTTTACATTCGATTTTTAACCGAAACCGGTCCGGTTTTCGGTTTAGATTTTCTCTAAATCGAAAAACTGGTTCGGTTAACCGGATTATCCCACCCCTATTTTATTCTTCACGAATTTTTTTTCAAAATTGACTCTTTAGCGTTGTCCATGTTACATATACAAACTATTGATACAAATGATTTTTTTTTTTACAAACTAACATGTTTGACATATAAATATCTTCTAATTTATGTCATCCAATCATCTTAAAATACATCAATTTATATATAAAGTATTATTATTTTAAATTATAACATAATAAAACTCTCATTCTTTTTTAGGATGCAAATATCTAGATGTAGGTAGGTCCAAAAAATTAGTGATCGGGTAATTGGTATAACAATTAACAAAAGTGTTATGATGTACACTGAGATACATTGATTATGTAGCTCAGGTTGGTGAAATTTAATGCAAAACTAAAGTCCCTAACTGTTTCCACCTTACAAAACCAATTCCAATATCCCATTAAATTCCCCCACCGCTCTTGAAAAGCACCTCTCCCTCAATATAAATTCAACATTACTGTAGCCTTGATAAATAACTAAACCACCAATACCTTCTACCCTACCCACACCACCATGGTTTCTTCCACAGAAAACACTTTGATCCAAAACATCAAGCTCTCTTCAATTGGTCCGAGCAATGTTACCGGAACCGATGTGACTCATGAGCCGAATGCAATGGATTTAGCCATGAAGCTTCACTATATTTTTGGAGTTTACATTTTCAGAAGCCATGCAGTGCTAGGGTTAAGCGTTATGAATATCAAGGAGTCCATGTTCTTCTGGTTGAATGAGTACTATGTCACCTGTGGCCGCTTCCGGCGATCGGAATCTGGTCGCCCTTACCTCAAGTGTAACGATTGTGGAGCCAGATTCGTTGAAGCTCAGTGTGATAATAGTGTTGATGAATGGCTTGAGATGAGAGATTGTTCTCTAGATAAACTCCTTGTTTCTCATCAACCCATTGGACCCGAATTGTCATTTTCTCCACCACTTTACATTCAGGTAAATTAATTTAAAATACTTTGCTTTATTCTAGTTATTTCTGTCAGGTGAATATTAAAACAAAAAAAAAAAAAAAAACTAGGTTTATTTTTAGTAGCCTTTATGGATGCCTGAAAGGAGATGGAATTAATTAATTAAATGCCGATAATGGATAAGAAATTTATGGTTAGTTGTGGATTTTTCAAGTTACTTTGTTATAAATTAAATGATTCTGTTTAATGTCACGCAAAACTTTATAACATTATTATCAACTAACAATGAGAAATATAACTTGTACATCTAACATGAATAATGGACAAGAAAAAGAGTTTTTAAGAAATCTTATTTTCATTAAATTCAAATCTCAACTCTCGAAGAATTTTAAGTTGGAAGTGGTTTGGTTATTTTTATTGCCACCTCATTAATTATTAAACCATTGAATTATTATAGATCTAATTTTTATCAGTAATTTAAGTTAATAGATTCTATATATTATTTTTGTCTTGGCATGCAGATTACTTGGTTCAAATGTGGAGGAATGTCATTGGGCCTAAGCTGCAGCCATATCCTTGGAGATGTATTTTCAGTTTGTGATTTCATGAACAAGTGGAGCCCATTTATGACAACTTCTAATGCCAGTACTCTACCCAATCTAACCAAATCACCTTCACCAAAATCACAAACGTCAACACCACTTCCCAACCCCAAAAACCCACTTTCCATTAAACGGGTCGACCCGGTTGGAGACCACTGGGTGACTCCCAGTAACTGCAAAATGGATTCATTTTCCTTCCATTTAACACCCACCCAAATATCTCATTTACAGTCCAAAATTTCAGGTAAAATCCCAATTTTTGAGACCTTATGTGCCATCATTTGGCAATGTGTAGCCCAAATTAGAGATGGGTCAGGCCCAAATAAAGTGACAATATGCAAAAAAGATCCTCATAATTGGAAAAATAATGCGAAGCTGAGCAATAGTCAGATCATAAGTTGTGTTGAGGCTAATATTCAAATCAAGGATGCAAATTTAGAACAATTGGCAGCAATTTTGGTTAACGAAGGGGTCGATGAGAGGGGTGAGATTGAAGAAGCAATGGAAAGGGAAAATGGGGTGGGTGATTTTATTGTTTATGGGGCAAATTTAACATTTGTGAATATGGAGGAGGCTGATGTTTATGGATTGGAATTGAAGGCAGAATTTGTAAGTTTCGGTATTCAAGGTGTTGGAGACGAAGGAAGTGTTGTGGTGATGCCGGAGGCAAAAGATTTGGACAAAGATGTTGGGAAATTGGGAAGGTTTGTGACGATAACTCTACCGGAAGATGAAATTGTGAAGCTAAAACCTGAGTTCAAAAAGAATGATCTATTGCTTGAAACTAATCTTGAATGACTAAAGCTATTACATGAATTTGTTTTAATGGATATAGCTAAGTTTAAGTAATTAATTTGCTGATATAATTTGAATTTTGTTTTAAGAATATATATATGAATTGTGTTTATGCATATTTCTGTCACAATATGACATCTTTTGGTAGCACCTTTCCTAATGTTTCAAGTAATTGTCACTAATTAAGAGAAATTAACTTGTGTAATAAGTTTTCTCTCTTATTAATGGTGAGATAAAAATAAAAGAGTATTCCTAAAGAAAAAAATCTTAAGTAAGCCGTTTCTTGTTTTCCGAATTATAATGAAATTGATTTTATTCACACACAAGGTTTATTGCTTGTTAAATACTAAATCTTCCCTCTCAACCGACCAATAACAATGTAGCACTAGCAGGCCTACAAGCCTGGTACGTTTCGGGGCCTGTCAAATTAAGGATGGCACCACAATCCATTGGGACGGGTTTAACCTGTCCCATTATAGTTGGCTTGAGTTAACCCCATTCCATTAAAAATTGGGGTAAGTTTTGGTAAAGTGAAGCTATTGACACTCCACTAATGGATTAAAGAAGAATAATACTATACTTATAAAGACTCTATATAAAGTGATATGTTGGGGTGAACGGTTTCGGGTACCCTCTATTTTTCGGGGGAACCAGAACCAGAACCGTACAGTACATGTTCCCAAAAAAAGGAACCGGAACCGGAACTGCACAGTACAGGTTCTTCAATTTAAGGAACCGGAACCTAAAATGCAGGTTCTGGTTCCTTTCCGGGGTACCCTATAAAAAATCAATTACCCCCCTATTAGTTTAAAAAATGACAAAAATACCTTAAAAGTTTACAAATACACTCCCAACAAATTTTGATTATTCATTCATTTGTGTCCAGTGTAACTCATAACCTGTAATCTCTAAACAACACTTGAATTCAATTAATTCATCACAATTCATATACAATTCGTCAATCAAAACTAAAACACAAACAATTATTCATCACAATTCACATCAAATAACTTCACCAAAATCATTTAAACAAACAACAATATAGAAAGTTAGAAACTGTCACCACTTTTTTTATTCTCCCACTAATTTCAATCACTACACTTATAAACTATAAAACACCCCAAAAAGCATAACATGAGTACATGACCCATGTGTAATGCTCCAAAGTAGGCATGGATGTTCCTTCATCAAGTGATTGAAGTCCAATCATTTCTACAAAATAAACACAAGAAATTTATAATGTAATGTTATAATTAATTAAGTAATCATACCATAAATTTATAATGTAATATTATAATTAATAAAATTCTAATCATTTAATTAAGTATTGTGTAAATTAGTAAATTACTAATTGTATAATATAATGTCATAATCAATTAAGTAATCATTTAATTATGTAATGTTATATTAATTATATGATCATACTATAATAGTATAATGTAATGTTATAATGAATTAAGTAATCATACTATAATCTATATTTAATATATAATTAATTAATTTTAAATCATTTAATTAATATACTAATGTTTATAATGGAATGTTATAATTGATTAAGTATCTATTATAAATATATAAGGTATATTATAATTAATTATTTTTTAATCGTTTAATTAAGTAATGTAATAATATAGTAAATTACTAATGTTCATAATGTATGTTATAAATTCATAACTATTATGTAATCATTTAACTATGTAATACTATAATTAAGTAAGTGATCATAATATAATGTATATATAATGTTATAATTTAAAGTAATTTTTTAACTATAATGTAATGCTTAATTAATGTTATAATGAAATGTTTATAAGGTAATGTTATAATTAATTAAATTTCTAATCATTTAATTAAGTATTGTGTTAATGTTTATGTAGTAAATTAGTAATTACTAATGTTTAAAACATAATATCACAACTCATAATCAATTAAGTAATCATTTAATTATGTAATGTTATAATTAATTATGTGATCATACTATAATATAATGTTATAGTGAATTAAGTAATTAGATTATAGATTTTTAATGTTATTTATAATATTTAAAATTTTATCATTTAATTAAGTAATGTAATAAATATAATGTAGAAATTATTAATGTTTATATGTGATGTTATAATTTATAACTAATTAAGTAACATTTAATTAAATGATCATAATATAATGTAATGTAATATGTTAATTTAATTAAGATTATTTAACTATAATGTAATTTTAATTAATTAAATTTTTAATCACTTAATTAAATAATCATTTGTTTTAATGTTGTTATAATTAATGTTTATAATATAATGTCATAATCATTAAATAATCATCTAATTATGTAATGTTAATAATTAATATAAATCAACTAATCATGTTATATGTAAATAGTGAAATGTTACATGAATTAGGTAATCATACAATAAGTCTTTAATAATATTTATAGTTAATTTGTTTATAATAGAATATATAATTTAATTAAGTAATCATTTAATTATAATGTAATTTTACAATTAATTACATAATCGTACTATAAATTTATAATGTAATGTTGTAATTATTAAATTTCTAATTATTTAATTAAGTCTTATGCTAATTTTTATGTAGTAAATTAGTAATTACTAATATTTATAATAAGGTCATAATCAATTAAGTAATAATTTAATTATGTAATGTTATAATTAATTATATATCATACTATAATGTAATGTTATAGTGAATTAATTATTAGTAATCATACTAAAATTTTAATTTAATTTATAATTAATTAATTTTTAATCATTTAATTAAGTTTTTATTAATGTTATAATAAATGTTATAATTGACTAAGTAATTATACTATAAATCTATAATGTAATGTATAATTAATTAAATTTCTAATTATTAATTAAGTAATTTACTAAATATTATACTTATAAGTCATTAATTAAGTGTAATCAATTAATGTAATGCTATATTAATTATACTATAAATCAATTAAGTAATATATAAATTTATAATTAATTAAGTAATCATTTAACTATAATGTAATGTTATAATTGATTAAGTATGATATTTAACTAGTATTAAATTTATTAATGTTTATCAATTTATCATATATATTAATAATTACTTAATTATATATTATTAAGATATACTTAACTTGATAATTGAAGTAAAACTAAATATATTATTACTCATCAAATATACTATTTTATTCAAAAATAATTCTTTATAACATTAAAAATGTAAAACACTTTTAATTGGATCATAATTCCAATTATTCACTTAATTAATCAAAACTTTAATATTAATGTATATAATATATTAAAGCTTTTAATTGTTGTAATTTATATGTAATAAGTATAATTGTATTCGTATATTTATTTAATTAGGTTATTTTAAAAATTTAACTTTTTCTATTTTAAATTTTTTTATATGTAAGATAATAGAAACCCTCCATTATTCACATTTCACAAATATTTTATTGTAGTCCAGTTTCCAAACAGTTCCAAAACAAGTTCTAAAACATGTTTCAAACAAGTTCCAAAACAGGTTCCAAACGTTCCAAAAACGGTTCCAAACCAGTACCCCCTACAGATTCCAACAAGGTACCCTTTTTACAGGTTCCGGTTCCGGTTCCTCCACACACAAAATCAGAACCAGAACCGCATAGTATCGGTTCCAAAAAATTGGAACCGAAACCTACCCGCACAGTACCAGTTCCGGGTAGGTTTCGGTTTCGGTTCCTGTTCTACCCACTACCCGTGCTCACCCCTAGTGATATGTCAAAATATGATTGGATAAATTAATATAGAAATCAATTTAAATCATAACCTGCATATTAAATGATAATGAATGATTAGCCATGTTAATATACCTTTAATTTTATAGAATTGTATATATAAAATCGTAAAATTTTGATGAAATATAATACTAAAACTATGGAAAACATAACGGGATAAATCTGAATCTGAAGAAGAGAAAACAAGTTGTAATTAGGAAATTGGGAAAAAAAAAAAAGTGTAAAGAAAAAACCTAATTAAGTTTGATTTGGGAAAAGATGGTGTAAAACAAATAACCTGATTAAGTTTGAAATTGGGGAAAATAAACTTAATTAAGCTTAGAGGGTTATTTTCAGTATTAAATGAGGTATAAAGAGATTTTATTATTATTATTATAAAAGAGGTGTACTTAGTCATGGGGTGAAGATCAATTTAGATGGAGATTAAAAATCACTTTCCAAAGGATTTAGGAAATTAATATTGTAATTTAGCTCATATATATACTTCAAGTCTTCGTTTCTTTTCTTTATGTTTATCTCAAGGAAAATAATACAGCCACCGACGGTAGTGTACCGAATTTATGCACCGAATGACGTGACAAAATCCTGACCGTTGATTAATTTTAACTTAATATTAATCAATGGTTAGGATTTTGTCACATCATTCGGTGCACTACCGTCGGTGGCTGTAGCATTACTCTTATCTCAATTGTTGTTGGACTTACATGCATGTCCTTTTGCTATAGCCCTTTCTAATGAAAATATGATATAGCTCTTTTTTCTTTATTTAAAAAACTGTTAATTATGTTATATCATATATTTTACGTGCTTTAACTTCTATTTTAAATCTATTGGATCCTAAATTTGATTTAGGACTTTGTGTTGAGTGTAACACTAAGATAAAAGAATATAAATAATAATATATTACCGGGAACTTAATGATTTTTTGACAAATTAGATCTACAAAAAATATACAAATTTTTATTATTTATTATTTTTGTCATTAAAATACTTTTGTTGCCTTACAAGAGGTATTTTTATGTTCCCCAATTAAGGGATAAAATAAATATTCTGTTTTTATTCATGAACAAACCCTTATTAACTACATCTTTTTATCTACCCAATTCTCGTTTAAGGATTTTATTTCAGTAGTTCATTAAAGAATTGCTTTTTAGCTGCTAAAGATAAAACCACTCTACGTATAGTTCTCATGCGCTCCTTGACCCTTATGACATGCATAAATTTGCCTATGCAAGCACAGAA